ACATTTTTCTCACTAATTAAAAAACATCCAAAGATGAGTAAAATAAATCTCAGGTTTCTTATCAATGCTTTAGATTTGTCAGATGGGTTAAAGAGTTTTCATTTAGGAATACATATTCATTCCTAAGTTTAGTCTTTAGAAAAATCAACATAATTTATTAATTAACTATTGTAAAGAATGGAATCAGCTTTCAAGAAAAATGTCTGAGGACAAGACAAGGAACACAAGAACAAATTTATGGTGGAAAGTGAGGCGAGAACCTCCTGTAAGGGTTCACACTGCACACTTAATAAAAACGTGCTGCTTTTGGCAACCTCTGTCAACATTTTATTCACAAAAAGTAAATTACATATGCATCTTTAGATATGCATCTAAGATCAGACTTGGGACAGTCAATGCAGCCAGAGTTTTCACTGCAGTTGTACAGGTCCCAAAAGGGTCAGAATCCCAGTTACCTTGACCACAAAATGAGGTGATGTAGGATTTTGAATTTCATACAAAAGGTGCAGCTACTAAAAATTTCAGATGAGTTTGCATTTCGGTGACCTTGACCTCCAGGTCAGAGGTCAGGTTTTCTGAAAATTCTGTGAATGCAATATCTGGAGAACAAAGACGACAAGGAGCATTGGCACCCCCCAGTGTTTTTTTTGTCCATCTGTCAAAAGTCATAGCATGCCCACTGCAAGAATATGTGACACAGAATTCTCTAAAACCACATCAACTTCAAGAGGGAAGGCTGCAGTACAGTTCTGTGCAAAAGTCTTACATCACCACTGTTCTGCACACCTAACTGGCTGAAATATTATAAAGTTTATATCTAATTATTTCCTTGAGCTCACAATGACGTGCTGGAGAAATCATGTAAGATCCCTTAGCAAAAGTAACAATAGCATATTACACATAAAACTGTATTAATGCGAAACCGTACATAAATGCAATCAAAAGAAAAAGTACTTACAGTGTTATGTGAATCAGTATTAATGATGCAGTTGTTTATGGTTGAGCTCATTTTAAATATTTCTGTTTAACCTCCAGTGCTACTAGATTGCTCCCTTATCCACAAGGAGTTGCTACAGGCTGTAGCAGCATGTTTTGATCCAACACATTTTAATGCTGGATGCCCTTCCTGATAAAAACCCAAAGAGGCCTAGCAAGCGAATCTGTAAATCACAACACTTTGGAGATACTGTTTAATCTCAAGTAGTGCATCATGTACTACATATATGATCATATGTTTGTGTTGGCTGTCCAGTAAGGACTACATCTCTCCAAATAAACAGCTGTCAATGAGCTCAAAAATACATTTTTTAAACTTTGACTTAAAAGTTTATATCAGGTATATTTATTTAAGAATGTATTTATAAAATGGAAAAAAAATTAGATGAATTAAAGCACTGTTCAAATGGTTAGGTGTGATTATCTGCAGAACACTGTTTTTGTTTTGTTTTTTCGCTTGTCCCGTTTGGTGCTTTTGCCATCAGAATTATTGTCTAAAGGCAAAAAAAGATACCCAACGGATTTACTTTACCAAATGGACCATCCCGGCTTGCCGTATTGGTCTATTTGATCCACCTTTGCTTTTATTGTTTATTTTATTTTATTTTCACTTGCTACATACGTAACAGACATGACTGGAGGAAAGAAAAGTGTGTACACCTGTGAGCATGAGCGCACTTGTATTTAAAACGTTCCTTCATGTAATGATCTTCTAGAGGGTGTGGGGAGCCATAGCCCCGTCCTCCAGGGCATGAAGCAGGTATGGAGGAGATCAAGGCTCCAGAGATCCAGAAGCCCCCAGAGCACAAGAGACCAAGGAGGACCAACAGAGGGACAACCGTGCCACTCTCCCAGAAAGAGCTGAGGAGAGCCCCAGATGAGGGGTCACTCAGCAGCCGCACAGCAGAAGCCAGGGGGGGTTGCAGTGACGTGCCCAAGCGAACCCCAGGCTCCAGGCCCCGACAAGCAGCCACCAGGAGTGAGCCGGTGTGTACCTGGACACCCATCCCCGGACACAAAGAACCACCAATACACCGATGTCTGAGGGCGTCTGCCACTGGACCCACAGGGAGGCCCCACATTCCAGACCCCAATCGGACAGCCTCCATCTGCAGAACACTGTTGAAAAATGAAGGAATAAGCATATTATTTCAGCAAAATCAGGTTAAA